AATTCTATCCATCGAGCTGTAAGGACTAAGATACTGCTGCTATAGGTACGTGTGTATGCTCTCATGTCGAGTAGTTTGCCGTTTATATACTTAGGCCTACTACAGTATCTATCTGTAGTAGTAAGGCAGTACAGTATCAGATGACTGTATTGTTAGTCAGAAGTGACGCTGATTAAAGTCATCACTGGGTCCATACCAATCAATCGCAACAAGATGTGTAGTAGTAGTAGTAGCGGTGCTGGCACTGACGCTACCATTTGTCAGAGGTGACGCCGATTAAGCCAACGCTAGGGCTCATAGGCCTCGATCTCAACAAAGAGTGCGATTCTGGGGTTAAACTATTCCAAGTAAGTACACGTTTGGGGAATAGCAGAGCTTGCATTGGTTTTCACCATATCAACGCTATCCGTCGGGCTGTGTACTAGCTATTAGGTTCGACTAAGATACTGCTGCTATAGGTACGTGTGTATGCTTAAAGTGCTACTTTCTAGTAATTATGCTTACCAGGGCCAGTAGATAGTATACTATAGGTACTGTCTGTGTGTGCTTTTTAAAAAGTCGCACCCAGTATGCACTCCCAATCTGTGTGAGGAAATAGTGATTAGCATTTGTATAATACTAGCACAAGTCCTACCATGCCCTTATTTCGTACAGTTTGCCGTCTGTAGGCGTACTAGAGAATCCATCTGTAACTTGGGCTTGCATCCTACTTTTGCAACAAGCATAACACATTGGGATATGAGCTTACGCGCCTCCTAAACTTCCTCCGGGCTGATTTGTAAGACACCCGGTGAGCGTTCACGTCCGGTTAGTAAGACTCTCATCCGATAACAAATGCCGACTATGGGGGAGGCGTTGTGGCACGCATAAGGACAACTTAGGTCATGTCAGCCGCCTGCACCTGAGCCCGCCTCCGGTCTTCTTGACATCGTGCACAGATGGGTGAAGGTAGACGGAGGGCGGTAGATCATGCGCAAGTCTACTATCACCTAAAACTCAGCCCCTCATAAGTCCCCGCGATTGAATTCAGCTTGCTGAGGCACGCGGTGGGCATCTTCGAAACCGACGGTCGAACTGTCGCTAAGGGTTCCACGTAATACAAAAAGTGTTTAGGACACATCGACAGCCGGCACTGAACTCATGTGCATCCCCTACTTCCTTCCAATTTTCCTCAGGTAAGCAAGACTCGCGCAATCACAGTTCAGCAAAGCAGGCAACAATGTTATTCCACAGCCAAAGTACGACCGCACCAATAAAAAAAGCACAAGGACAAAAAAGGTACAGGAAGCAATGAACGAAGATGACGCCTCGTCGAAGTCATTTAATATTACTGGGGTCAGAGGTGGAGGGGGGGGCAGGAGCTATGACACAAGTCAATCGCTTGAAGGTTGATGAGGCGCGAGAGAACGTGAAAGAAAAGCAAAAAAAATGATATTAAGAGAACCGATCCGTCACGAAAAGAGACGGTGCCCGAAAATAAAGGGAATGAAAACAGGAGCAAATCAGATGTCATAGGATGTTCACCATCATGCCTATCATGGCACAAGAAACCACGTTTAAAATCGTGGAAGAAAAAGACAAGTAAATGGCCTTAAAGGCGAAAAATGACTTAAGAGCCTGCAAGGAGAAATGGCTGCGGGAGATACTTCTGTGGCGCGTGCAAGCCAAGTAGTGACAGCGGAGAGAGATTTGAGGAGGAATAGGAGTGAGGGGAAAGAGATGGAGCTTCAAATCACCTGGTTCGTGGACTTCAAGTTGGCTAGCACCTGAGCCAAAGTAGTCCACTCGTCGGCGCCAGGATTCGCTAAGCTTTCGGCGACACTGCAAACACGCACATGACCCTCATCGTCTCC